AACGCAGCAAGATAGTACATTGTCTTCTCCTTAAGTAAAAGCAATAAAACGTAAAGGCTACCCCTTAATATTTGAATTACATTCCATCAACCGCCACTACAATCAATTACAATTACTGTGAAAGTTGCCCTCCATGTTATAATTATTTAATTCTATAACGTTGTTAGAAAGTTCTCCATTTAAAACGAGTGTTATCTTAACGCATTTCAAATTTTGTTTAAATACAAAATCGTTATGGAGAAATTTTAAGTGTTTTACATCAGCTAAGGAATTGTAATATTGCTGCCACTTTGCTATAACTTTTTTGTTGTTTTATCATAAAAGGGAATGTAAATAACTTACACTTAATTTTTTGGCTTTTATTTAGTCTCTACGAAGATATAGGTACTAGCAGTGAGTTTTGTAAAATAAAAATATGTTATAGCGCCATCTAGCGTCACGCTTTTGAACTTTTTACATCGTTACCAAACCAACGCGTTATTCATTGAGTACTTTTTATGCATTATGAGTTTTTATAACGTAAATGTAAATATATATTCTATGTTATAACTAAATGTTATATGATGCTTTGCCCGCATATGAAACCCTCTTTGTGATACGATTTATAATCTTCAATTGATTTCTCTTGGACACCTACATTATATTCTAACTTGGTGACATTGCCCTTTCGATTAAAGTAAAAACATTTTAGATAATCGACATTTTATTGATAATGTTTTATGGATTATATTATTTTTTCTGGAGCATTCTGTACTTGAATCACTTATCATTCTATTTGCTAAAGAATTAAAACCAATTTAGTATATTCTATATAATATTTTAGTAGCAATGCAACATATAACATGTCTTTACACTATCTTATAAGGCAAAACCATAGGAAACATTCGTCAGGTCACTGTGTCAGGTGTCCTGGCAGGACGTATTCATCACGACATAAGTCATTCAGATCTTGACTTCCAGTCTTCAACTATCAAAGGGTTACTTCAACTGAAAGGACAACATTTCGTTCCTTGTACAGTCCTAATTAAAGTTCAGTATGCTTATTCTGAGTTTCATAAAACTACATATGGGCGTCAGTAGTATTTCATTCAGGAATATTTTCATTAAATACTACTTATTAATGAATGTGAAACTTGAAATGATTTGTATGTATAAACGATTAATTTATAATAATCATACTGACATGATAAATTTTAGACCAATTTTACTTTAGAACGTAATAATTTATATTTATTTAATAAAATACTATACGATTTCTTTCGCTATTGAGACTATTACTTTAAGAAAATAGTACTAGTTAATTAAATTCCCATTAACTGTCCAACAAACTCCAATTTAATCTAACAAGTATATTCTTAATATTACACAATACCACGTGTATTAAATCCCATTAATTTCAACAATAGGGCATCGTCCTCTATTACACAACCAAAACATCTTGTTCCGTCCAAATAATGGGGAGTTTTGTTCCAATTTTGTGCATCTGAGATCGTGCCAAAGAATGGTTCAAAATAAACATGTCTATTTTTTAATTGCATCACTTCCAATTCTATTGTTGGATTTCGTTTATTTGTGTTCAGTGAATTATTGTTACCGGAATTTAAATGTACGGAAATAACATGTATCTTAAATAATACTAATGTCTTGGGTTTTGTTTATAAGGACGAAAAATACGTATACTTTGAATACTTAAATCCTGTCTTCTATATACTTTACTGGGTCAATTTGATATCTTAAAATGTTCAAACCGAACAGTCGTACAATAAAGTTGATTGAGGAACTCTATGAACCACAAACCTGATTCCCCATCATTTCCCATACGTAAACTTAATATCCGCTGAACATTTACTTAGTATTAGGGTCGCCTATCTTCATACTTGATAACTTATCATTATTTTTTGCGTCTATTTTTTGATAATATCTTATATTGTATATATGCGCTATCGGCATTAATGATGGATGCAACTGAAAATAACTGAAAAACTTATTAGTAGGTATTCATAATTATTGTTAAAAGTAAAACGAAATCAAAGACTGTTTAAAAGGAGAATAGAACTATGTTTGAATTTTGGTATAAATATGACGTCTGGACGCACGACAGCAGAGTTCAATGAGTGCGGACCATTGAAGTATGTAATTATGAAGAACCTTCGAGAAATACAAGAACATTTAGAACAATTGAAATTCATTTTAAAATATCATGGAATATACTGGAAGAAGTGACGTCGGCGAGGCTGGCGTCTCTCTCTTTAAAAACAACAAATTTGTAATAAATCCGATATATACATATGTCTGTCTGTTCCTGTATATAAATAGATTGTTATTGAATAGTCCCATCGGCCATCAGTCATCGTTATGGTGCCGGCAGATGATAGTCTTTAATGGTAAACGCTCAATTTGATTCAATTTAACATTGCCCGGTCGCCGGTCGCCGGTCGCCGGTCGCTCCCACTTACTTAGATTGGACGGGATAAGGGATAGTTATAGGGATAGGGTAGGTGTCCGCTTGACGATTTATCTATCAATATGATACTAGACTCATATTACTATTTATTATATTACTACATACTCACGTAACAATTTGTTTTGTTAAAATTTTGGTGTTTCTTTTCAATGTTTTCATGTTAAGGGATATACTTTTATACAGGGTGACTGGTGAATTACTATCGATATTTGAGGACGTGATATTTGACGATCATATATGACAAAATAAAAATTAATATAACATAAATATTAATAAACTTCTAAGTAAAGTTAACCAAAAGTTATGTAATTAATTACGCATCGTATGAACACCCTACAGATTAGGTATACATACACACACACACACTCGCGCGCGGCGGCGTGTTGTTGTATCAGCACGCCGCCGCACGCGTCCACACTTGGAACACTTGGAACGTGTACACACTTTATTTATTTATACGGAAATTTGGTAAAATATTAAGTACCTATTTTACATAATTCTAATGAGAATCATGTACCGAGTATGCTCCTTAAATATTGATAGTAATTCACCAGTCACCCTGTATATGTATAAATAGGATTACATATGAAATATTTTGAAATTACTGTCCAATGAGCTTTTTAAACTACGTTAGAGATATGTTTCTAAAAAAAATATGAGGTAAAACAACATTTTAATTACAGCACTTATTTTTATTAATTCGTAATTTGTATATAAAATACTTTATAGAAAAGATATAGCTTTGTTCCTCTATATATAGTACAATTTAATATAAACTTTAAAACACGCTAAATAATTTCATAATTACTTATTTCGTAAAAAAACTAGACTTCTGCAACAAAACACCAATATACAACAATATGTCAAACAGTTTTTCTATTACTCTTAGAAAGTGAAACGCTACAACTAATGTTCCCATGACCCTTAGTTCTACATTGGTCGGTCGTAATTACTTCAGCTCTAATATCGCGTGAGATAAAACTTCTCAGCATCCCAGCTTACAGATATACACCAGACATAGCTTTAGTTAATAACATAAATTAATAATAAAATATTCATACATTTACGTGAAACCTATATTTTGAAACCGTGGCCACGTTTGCCGAAAAGTAATCGAAACGTCGGGAGTATGTAGTTTTTTTTACAAACGCATAGTATATCCGAAAAATATTAATTTCATTTAAATGAATAAAACGAGTCTTAGATTTCATTAAAATATTTATAATTGTATTCATTTAACAATTCTTATCCTACACATTTCTCTTGTATAGTGCAATCATTGTAGTGTGAAGCCATATAAGTGATGTCTGTTTCATTCATTTATCGTAATATTTATATTGATAGATGATATCTTGTTGATTGTACGGTCTAGTAACTAATACTGCCATTATCAAGCGTCGAAACAGATAAAAGCTAATAATTTAAAAGCTGTATATATGTTTTCTAAAATCTAAATGAGGTCTAAAACTTTCGTGAGTTATATTCATTTAAATGAAACGAATAATATTCGGATATATATATACTACGCGAATTTATTTTTGTAAAACACTACATACTCCCGACGTTTCGGCTACTTTTCAGCAAACGTGATCACGGTTATATGTAGTTTTTTACAAAAATAGTCGCGTAGTATATCCGAAAAATATTAGTTTAAAAAAATCTAAAATCTTGATTTGTTCTAGATGAATATATCAATTATTATAAATATTTTACAGAAGTATTCTTTTAAGTATTATTATTTATACGACACTAGCTATACATGCCCACGTTTGGCGTGGTTGAGAGTCATAATAAAGGAATTTAATGAAATATTTTACATAGATGGGACTGTACTTATAATATAATGTAGGGATATTATTACAAATGGCGACTACAGTGGCATAGCTGTTAATTATATACAGAGCTGGAAGGTCTAATAGACTGTTATCACAATTAGTAGTCATTTGTTAGAATAATTAAATTAGGTCCGCGTTACCGCTTCTGTTGTAAAGGTATAGAGAAGTTAAGTTTATAGCAACACTATCAATGGACACGACTTTATTATTTGAACTCTGTTAAAGCTTCAAGTTAAATTGTTGTTTAAAGTAACGATGGTTGTTTAATGAGTTCACTCTCGACTCCAGAGATCAGATAAGAATCGCTTTGTGTGAAGGCTACCGGCCTGATATCTAGGTTAAATTAATAAGCAAAGCTTGCTCGGGATCGGAACTAGGTAACCTCACGTAACTTATATAAAAACGATTTATATAATAACCATATCGTAGTTCCCGATCGACGAATTACGAATTAAAATTGAACGTACACATCACGCAACGCCCAGTCTATAACTATAATTAAGTCGCCTGATACTAAATTATAAATGACCACATCCATGACTTAATTATTTCAGTACAGCAATGTGACTGACTGACTGTTCATATCAAAGAGTTCTCATCCATACCATTGTAAGACTCGCGTAAACCACGGAGTACAAAGCACAAAAGAGCAATACAAAGTACCTATACATAGCGTACAACTGAAAATCTAAACTGAAAGGATGTATGCCATCATTGCAATGAGACATTTCCACGTATTGTTGAGGACAGTGGAAATTGGCAGAGAGGGTGTGGAGCGCATGCGCGAGGTCCAAGGACACGAGCCGTGGCTCAGTCTGACGGGAGGCACCGTCGCGGCTACCTGTCTCCGAGGTGAGGATGCGGACTGCCGCATAGACCAGGAGCCCGCTCTGTGCCCGCATGCCCGCCCCACCAGCTCCTGGAGGCCGCAGAGCGACCCCTAGCAACGATACCCCGAGGGCTCTTCGATTTAGTCTCGTAATTGGATTTTGGCGTTCGATAAGCAACGATATGCTCATTTGATTGGAAGGCGCTTTCCGCTTTGATATGCCAGCTTGCTTTACTACCTCTCGTCAGCTCTGCTTTGTGTAGATGCTTTTTATTTTACTGGAAATTTATTTATTAGAGTAAAAGAAAAGTAAAAATTCCTTACGTAACCCGCGATCAAACGGGTTGCCTAAAATGTGATATCCCTCCTGTGGGTACACGGAAGCTGGAAGGACATAATAAAGTGTACAAAAGTTGATTGTGACCATGACTTGTTGGGAGAGCGTAGGTTTACTCGGCCCTTGTGCACTTCTTGCCTCATCTGACATCAGGGTGAGTCTGTTACCAAATAAATACAAGGTCGATCGTCACCATCACCGAAATAATCATCACCAATACTAACGATCCAATCAATAAAACACATAAACCTCGTTAGACCAGAAACAAACTTATTAATAGCTTCAAACCATTAATAAGTGCGACCTTAATATAAAAATAATAACTAATTAAATCCTTAGCGATGTCTTATTTAACTTTTTATTTAAAAATAGCAATGGTTTTCTATGATTAAAGTTTTATTTCTGTTTTATATTACCATTAAACATAAAATAGCACACGCAAAAAGCCTATAAACTGAAAACTATGTTCGTATTTCATTGAAGCATATATTTATTTTATAGTACGCCCTTACTAACGATCCAACAAAGATAAGATTATTTCATAAACAAAACAATTAGCATGATGGGTACGATTTGCTAAATAATACCATTTTGGAAAACACTCGAAGCGTCCAAATATTTATTTTGCTTAATGGACTTCTTTTGTTGTTTTGGTCCAGTCGGTTTCAAATTCTCATGAGAGTGTAACGTTGGTGAAAATGGTTTCTATCGTGTTATTGACGACAGAGGAGGTTTTACAAAGAAATGGCTTTTGGTACTGTCTTGATTCTATTTGGATCACGCAAGAATTGGAGCCCTTTCAAGAGGTGGAACTGGAACAGATGTACGCAAAACCTATGCCAAGGGATATTTACTACGCCAAGTACCCAGACATACCGAGAAGTGAATCCGAGGACGAGATTCCTTTAACCGTCAAAGGTTTTTGGAACAAACATAAAGAGTGGAAATCTAGAATATGCATCAGAAATCTATGTAACCAAAACAAGAACATGACACATTCAACTTTTAGTGCTAAATCTATAAATAACAATACTACTATTAACGTAAGCTCTAAAACTGTGACTTCGAATGTTAAGAAAGAAAACTTTCCAGAAATTTCGGATAATGATGAACGGATTCGTGATTTTTTTAACCGTTTGATTCAAAGTGTTCCGCCTCCGCCTGTACAGGAAGTATCGGAATTTGCCAGTTCTATATCTAATTCGCGATCAATTCAAAATAATATAGAATGTATTGATCTACCCGACTACGCAGACTTTGAAAGCGATAGATTGCTTCAGCGTTGCGATGAGATCCCCGGTCCTTGTACTTCAACGTTAAAGAAAACTTCGAACGGAACCCATAATAGTTTGAGCTCGGCTAACTCTGATCAGGAATGGTACGAAACTATTTACGGAGTATCAGAATTGTTGGATCCTCGAGAATATTCAAGCCAGGGAAAACTTACATCGGAATCTGACTGTTTGATATCGTGGTCCGAAATACTTGAGATTTGTGGTCCTAGCAGCATTTACAGTAATTGTAACAGCGCTGAAGAAACCGAAGATATAATAAGTCAGTCTCACTGTTTGAGGAATAATAATTTATATGATATATCAGATGATGACGACGAAGAAGCTTATGCCAAATTTTCTATTAATAAACTTCGACAAACAATTAATGCGAAAGGAAAGATACAGGATTCGTCATCGATGGAAAATTTAAACTATCAGGATAATGCCTTGCTAAAGTCGATAGTTGAAATAAATTCTTCCTTACATGAAACTTTCTACCGATTAGCGCCGTCAGATAGTGACGAAGATTTGGTAAATGTTAGATTAGATAAACAGACATATCTTTAATCATATTATTCCTGAATATTTATTATATATTAATAAAAAAACAGTTGGAAACAATGCTTATTTTATTTTTAACTCTGTTACTTCCTTTATTTGAGCTCGATGTTGTAAGTAGATTGTTTTTTTATTCTGATAATTAACCTTTTTTGGCAGTTAATGATAATTTGTTTCCCTTGTTGCAGCCTCCGGAAAACGAATTGCAGAAGAATTCGGACCGTGTGCTCTCTGAGCACGAACTTCGCGTTCAAAGATCATTGCAGAAGCTCAATGTGCCAGAATGGTATGTAGTTTTATTCAATCATAATATATACATTAAATGAACCGATGGCATGTCCATATTTTTAATTAAATTGTATGAAAACAGTCATTGTTGTACATTTTATGTCTGATGACAGGTGAATAATATTTTATTCAATATAAAAAAGGGAATACAAGAACGTAATCTAGTTAATAATACGAGCGCATTTTTCGTACGGAAATATCCAACAAGCACGCACTCCACCTAAGTGGCTTTGCTCATAATCTTTTGAAGTAAAATTCCGTCTGAATTATTCCCGTATAAAACCCACGATATCTGAACGGAACAGTTTCCCACGAGCGTTAACTGATGAATGTTTATAATCACTAACGAAGTTTTAATTACGACCTGGAGACTCGCTGCGAACAATGCTATTATTAATTCGCTTAATAAGACAAAGGTCCATATATGAGCTCATCTTAACATGATATCGCCGATACGTTGATATCACCAACAAAGCACCAACTAAGCTTAATCAATTCAATTTTAATTAAGAGTCATGTGTATTGTGTGTACTTGAGCCACTTTTAATATCGCGAGCTGTTGATTCGCCTGACTGAGTCTTATAGGAATCAAGATAACTCGGAGCATTGTTCTCACCGAGCGAAGGAATCGAGCGATATATAAAGAGAATTTAAAATAATTGCAGCTGACGTGTTCTAAATAGAATGTAATGTATTTTTTCAACTCCATATTAAAATTTAATCGTATTTTAATGTTGTTTTTTATAGGTACAAAAACGCCCCAGCCCCTCGCGAGGGCTTCCTTCTTCGGAAGCGGTTGTCTGACGCTTCATCAGCAGCTCGGTGGAGTGGTCTTAACTCAAAGACCACGTCACTGGGCAGTCTCGGTGCTAACAACGCCCAGCCTCCACCACCTCAATTATCTCCGCACACAACCAGTTTCGGTAGATGGTCTACCAGTCGACTTAACTCGAATCAAGTTAGTTTTTAGATACCTCTCTAATAACATAACAAAAAGGCTCAAAAAGTATTTGACAGCTACTAACAGTTCAACAGACATGTCCCCAAAAACATGATCATCAATATTGTCAATATTTAAGAAGTTCCATCATTTTTCTCACAGACGAACTCATTCTTTCAATAGGTCTACCATATCTATATTCTTCTTGTAATTATTCTTCCAGACGTCCCCGTGTTCTTCTACCCGCAGCAGTGTCCGCGGCGCCAGTCCCCTGTGCTCCCCGTCTGCCCGTTCATCTTTCAGCGCCCGTCAGCCCTACCTCGGCTGGCGGAGTCAGGAGAGACTCAACTCCACTCCGCGAACGCCGCATGAGAGGTCTTTATATTATTTTATTATTACTTTCAAATATTATTGAATTTAATATTAGTATTGGTTGTAATTAGTAAAAGTAGATACTTTAATGAATAGTTTCGTCAATAGTAATGTATTCTATAGTTATGTAAAAAACTTAGCAAGGCATTAATTTTTTTCTTTTTGCATTAATTATCATATTATGTTTTAAACTATAGTATAAATTCTCAATAGTATGTATAGTGTGGACTTTTTACAGTGTACCTTTATAATTTATACCTATCTTCTACCCTTACTTATGACATTATTAAAATTCAATCAATAATATTATATTACTGATCATTTCCAGGCTAGCTTCTTCTCTTCTTCAGCAGTCCGCTTCAGCGAAAGCCGCAGAGGAAATACAGACTTCGATAAAGGAAGTGACGTCAGCGATAGTACACTACGTATCAGGTTTAGAACCCGCCAACGGTGACGTAGAGAGGCAACCCTCGCCACGCTCCAGTCAGAAGTTGTACTGGCTCGAAAGCTCGTTTGTTGGTAAGAGGCTTTTCATTTTTAAGTACATTCATCGTCCAAAAAGAATGAAAATGTGTATCAAGGTTTTAGACGTTATGATATAAAAAAAATCCAATCAAGAGACATATGTCTATGACCTTATGTATAAATAGAAACTGTCAAGAATATTTATGGTTAAAGAGCTTTATTCTCATAAGAACATACATAGGTTCACTTAAATGAGATTAAATAATGTTACACACATGCATTAATATTTGATACATGGAATGGCTAGTACTACTTAACATTGTCTAATATATATATTTTAATGATGATATTTCGCTCAAAAATCCAAACAAAACTTCCACTATTAATATTTTTTACATAGTAATTATAAGCTGTATCGTATATGTCGTGTTCCAGGTACAAAGCCGCTGGAGTCTCCCCAGACGCCGCTGGTGGTGTCTGAGTCCCTCCCCCCCGCGCACCCCCGGCCGCCCTCCTCCCTGCGCCTCGAGCACCGCGCGGCGCCCGGTGAGCGAGCGTGACCTCGTACATTGCAGGTTTAGATACTGACCTGGGTGACATTCCCATACTGAGACACCGATGTACATCATCATAGATACTTCTCTATAAACCCGCAATGTAATACATCGCCGGTTTCGTTCCGAATATATTCGATATTCCCCCCAATTATACTTCAATGTACGTCAGATCTGAATCGATCATTTATATTTCGATACAAAAACACCAATGTATGTCATAGTACGGGGAATCGGTATCCATTTAGTACCTGAATTTTATAACATTTTTAATCTGCATTTAACGAACGTCATCCAAACCTGCAGTGTGATGCGTGTTCTGTGTTTGTTGTTCTGTAAAAGTTATTGTAATATTGCAGGATATTTTGTTAAAATAGCTTTATAACTGTAAGACTCAGGACCATTATATTCGTATTTAGTGCACCGCACAATATTTACAATGTTTATGACCGCGCACCGGCTTGTAGTTGCTTAAATGTCCGTGGCTTGTAACTGTTACACATTCTTAGTAAAAATGGCGGCGTCTTCGCGTATCAAGGAAAACTTTCCCGCCAAAACTTGTTTAAATTATTTTTTCATACACATTATAGCTTCACCATTGTATTTCTTTTGTTGTTTCATATAAATCAACAACTTATATGCACAGATATAATATTTGTGAAGTCAATAGGACTTTATTGCCATAATTATTTTTGTTTATTTTTTTTCTCAATGAAATCTATCATGAAACCAGTTTGATAAGTATTATCTTAAATGTACAGAGTAAATTATTTTGTTTGTGTGTTTATAATTAATGAACATCTATATTAATTAGTTTTAAAGCTAGCCGATAGATAGTTGTAAATATATAACATTGCTACTTGTTATTTTAGGTGCTAATATCTGTTACCTACTTATATTATATGTTTTATTATTATTATTATTGTTTCTTTAGTCACATTATTTCTTTTGACGTGCCAGTGGGCGACCGTTATCAGAACCGAGTTAACGCGGTGGTGAGAAGTGACTAAGACACATGTCTCATAAAATTAAGTTCCTTCTACTGAAATCACCTCGTAATTTATGTTGGGTCCAACCCTCGGTAAATTATACAGGTTCTGATCGAGTTAGAAATTATTTTATACGCGCAAAAATACTCGCACCGCCGAAATTACGAAAACGCCCCCGAGTTATTTATTGAACGACCAATACGCCTAAGCATTATATTTATTATCTATGACTGTTTTAATATAATCTGTGCAACATTGGATTGGAACATTTTAAATTATTTAAAAAATCTGGCGTTACTTTTTTGAGAACTGCTAAATAGCTAAGTGAGAAAGCTCTCTGAACTGTTTGAAATATAAAATAGTACCTAAAGTGTAATAAAGTAGATTTTAGTTATATGATAGAATCTCACAAAGAAATTATGTTTTTTCATATGTTGTATCTGTCTTCATAACATTAACCATTGTATGTTTTTTAAGTTAAATTTATTATGGTAATTATTAAATATATTCAGTTTTATTTTATTTTTGTTTTATTTTTATTGTTTGCCTCAGTTGTTTATCTTTTTAGTTATCATTAGGTATTGTAATCATAGTGTAATTGTGTTCTATACATTTAAAAGGTGTCTAAAGACTGGATTTATTAAACCTATGTCCATGGTAAGTAACTGTTATTATTTCAGTAAACACACTGTCCTGTTTTTCTGCACCTGTCATCTTTGTTTTGTGCTTACAGAACCGAACCTAACTCTTGTTTATTATTTCAATTATTTAGTTAATAGTAGCTTCACTCAGAACAGGTATCGAAAGATGCAATAGTAATTTTATCATACCGTTTTTCAGACTGGCAAGATTCTCAGCGTTCTCTAAACCTGGGTGTAACTCGCCCATCTCCGGGGTCAACGACCCTCGAAGACGTTCTGGATTCACTTTTGGGGCTTCCTTCACAACCCACCAGAGTTCCCACGCCTCAACCCAGCCCAAGGAAATCAGCGAGTCCATATTATTTGCTCAGCGGAAAGGTATTTATTTTCTTATCCATATATTAGTTATCACATTTATTTACGTGTTATCCGCGGATTTCCGGGATCTAAAGTAGCCTATGTGTTATTTCTGGACGTCAGCTTCCTGTATACAAAATTTTATCAAAATCGGTTCTGAAATTTGAGTTTGAAGAAATAACAAACATACACACACACAAAGTTACGCAGTTATAATATTAGTAGGATAATACAACCACTTCTCTTTCTAACTCCTGCGCATTCCTGAGACCAAATACACTTCTTTATGTAATTACGTAGAGTAAGAAAAAAAATTAAACTTAATTTATCTCCTGCTTGTTGTTCAAAACAACAGACTCAATTTTTTATCAAAGTTCATCAAATCAAAGTACGTCTGAAAGTATATAGCCCATACTTGTTTTATATAGAAGTCATGAAATTTAAATGAAACTAATCAACTTAATCATTAATCAACTAAGCACGGTTGCTGAAAAATAGTCGAAAACTTCGGGAGTATGTTATTTTTTAATAAAAATAAACTAAGCATATTACATCCGAAAAAGGTTTTTGTTAAAAGCAAGATGTATGTATACAGAGTCCTCGCTACGAGCAGTTAGCCAGCAGCGGCCACAGCAGTATATCGCCCGCGTCTCGTTTCCTCGGCACGCCGAGTGAAGCGCCCAGCTCGCTCACCGACCCGAGCCCCGAACACGACCGACCAGGTAGGAACGATATGTAAGTCACGGCCGTTCCAATTTTTTATACCTACCTTCGCCTTTTATATCTCGCTTAAGCTTGACCGATTATAGGAAAGTGATACACCCAGCGCTGCGGTTTATGAGGTATCTTAGGTATTTGTATCCACTCACAGCAACTATCCCATTATCTTATTTAAACTCCTCACTCCCACTTTATGGTATTATTTTCACCTTCCTTCTCTAATATTTCTATAATAATGATATTTGCATGACCCATCTAGAATGGTATGGTCTGAAACGCATGTGTTGTCATGTAGCGTTTATTTTGTCTCTAATCTCCAAATGGTCCTGGGTCTTTGATATCATTGTCGTCTTCTATTACAACTAGTGTTATGATTACAGGGAAGGATACAGTTGATACTCCTGCTATGCAGGAAACGAGGCGTTCGCGGTCTCAGGGCGAACACTCTCGCAGGAGAAGTGAGCCGTTCGCTCGTCCCAGTACATCCCTCGACCGTCGTACTAGTCTCGACGTGGCCGCCCTCCGCGAACAAACCCTCACTCATCACGACTCCAGAACCTCCCTCGCCTCGCTCCAAACCGAAAACAGCACAGACGACACCTTCATCAAGTGCAAGTATCCTAAATGTTCATCACGAGCCCCCTTACCAGATGCTAAGAGACATTACAAGACTTGTCACAATTGCACCACTATGTACTGCTCCAAAGAATGTAGAAGAGCCCATTGGGAAAAGCACAGGAAGGTCTGTCTACACTCTCGTGCGAGCAGCTTGTGTAGACAAATTATATCCGCCGCGAAAGAGGATTCTGATTCCTTACATCAAATTAGTACGATCGCTCATAAAGGATATCTGGCCCAAGGCAGAGGTGTCGTCAAAATCTTCTTCACTAGTCCAGAGGCGGCCGAAAAGTTTACCACGCATGGATACCAGTATTTAAGTGAACCAGAATTCGTCAAATGGACGTCTCTACAGCCAAATGAAATGGGTGCCGAACTATACACCGAGGTCGTTAAACTCTGCAAGGCTTACAACCCAGAGACGAGAGTAATTTTATACGTAGCGGTGTGTATCATTAGCGAAGTACCAACAAAAGGCGCCGTTAAATGGGAACGACAGATGGTGTCCCGGTGTGCTAAACTACGTTTAAGCAAAACTGTATCATCAGCGATACAAGAACAGAATAGAAAAAGGAATAGAAGAGACAGTAAAGGAACGCCTGACGATCGAGAGACGTTAATACTGACATCCAAATTAACTAACGCGGGGGAGAAGAACGCAGCGACAGCGCACAAGTTTAGAGAGATATGCTTCAGGAACATTCTCAATGAACTAGAGAGTCGCGGTGTTGTGTTGAAGAAACATTTCCCTGAAGTGTACTCGCGTCTGGCGGCTTACGTGGACGGTACAAGCGACAGGTTCATACCGATGACGATATACCCGAAAGATGTCACCAGTGGAAAATCATTCGTGTGCGTCATCATGCCGGATAATGATACGGAATGTGGAACGGCCATTGATAGTAAAGTTACAACAGTAGACGTTGGGGTTGATCGCTCTAAACATCAGCTTTCCACACCCATGTAGAGAAAATTCTCGATATTCATTAGAATACAATGGGCGGCCATTTTGGATGTCATTGATTGGAGGCTCGAGCTTGTGAGCGGCCATTTTGGATCGAAGCTGTCCATCGACATATAATAATGGACATGCCTTAAAGATAAGAATTGTGGCAATTCGAAAAAAAGAGAGGAAACGAAGTTTCGGTCTATCTTTATCTCTCTTAAATTTATATGCCGTGCTTGTCATGAAAACTGAGCGCCAATCATCTATGATAATAGTGCTAGGCCGAAAGCATAGGCCATCTCTCTCACTCTTTTCAAACCAAAAAATTACTGCAGATTATAGTCCATTAGTATATGTCGATGAAGCTTTCAGCTGACGTCACACGATAGAATGATACATATATCTCTTTGTATGAAGAATGTAATCGCTCAAACTGTTCTCGTTGGTTCTTATGACATATGAATTGTTCGATAATTCTTATTGATTCCATATTTTGAATCTCGTATGAATGTTTAATGTGCTCCCTATCTTAGCTGTATCTTCTTGAATGTTCGATTCCAAGATTCATATTTAAAGACGAGTATAGTGTACATTCCTTATGAAAAGACATTTTTTATTTAACGAAAGACTTATTTTATAGTTCAATATGACTTAGTATATGTAAAACGATATTTAAAATATTATACATATTTATAACATTGATTCTAAGAATTCTATTCTATTTTAGATTCTATAAAATAATCCGTAATAAAAAAAACCTGATACTGTTGCGAGTAATGTTGGTTATAACTAAAAAAAATTCTGCAACAAAATTTTAAGTCGAGCATTTCAATTTATTATTATATTGATGTCTGTATGATAATGACAATATTGTAATTCGACGTTACATATTTATAACTAATTATTTATATAATCAGTGTCTTTATAAATGTAATTTTATACAAAGCATTTAAGGCTTGTAGTTATGCAAAATATTTTAATGTAATAAATAAATTTATTCCTAAACAACAAAATCATAGATAAAATAAGAAAAAAAAATACCCAATTGTGTCTGATCAATTTAAGTGTTAATTGTTGCTTAAAAATATTTATAGTAGCGTCACGTTGGTTTGTAGAAATATATATTTATTTATATTTCTGTTATAAATAACTATCAGAGATATTAATTGTCTTAATAAACAAAAAAACACACATTTAAGCTACAACAATTATATATGGAAAAAAATATAATCATTCATAAACTCAGGGCATAACATTAAAGTCTTAACAGTGCCAACTTGGAATAATCACGATAAATTTAAAAGTTTTGTACTTTTACAAACACCATTATACAGATTTTTGTAAACAATTTTAATGCTGTAGCTTCTTGTATTTTAGTATCATGCCTACTCTAAAAAATTATAATCTGTGAAAATCGACATAAAATATAATACCTTTAGTAATCAGATTGGTTAAATTATTGTATTCTGATAGATGTATTCATTAATATAACTTGGATTGATTTAAAGTTAGTGCCACTACGAACATTTTCTGCTTCAAATTTAGATATGTCATTAGATAATTAATTTGTTTTGGATCTGAATAGTTTTATATGCAATAGATTCCTAGTCTACATTTACTACCGTTATTTCAAACGTAAAGTTTTTTCCACAATTTATTGTTACTGTTACAATGTTGGTGTTCAATACAAATTAATTTGGTGTTATGATTGTGTTCTTGAACTATTTTATATACATTTGAATGTGAACAAGGTAACGAGAATTTTTGTATTTCACAATATATTATTTATATATTTAAAACTTATCTCTAAGCTAATAATTTGATGGTGCTTGTAATTTGTTTGACACTTGAAGCGCCGAATTTAAAATTGTTAAAGCCCGCTGTACATTGGAGCTTTATATTTGTTCAAATATTTGTTGACCACAGAAGCTGTGTTATTCCTCTAGTTGAACGCGTAATCGTGTAGATATTTTAACTTTACATGTATACTGTCTACAGATAAACGCAAATAATATTTCTAAAATTGATACCATATCAATTGTTTTGTCATAGTCAGGAATAGATTTTTTTTATCTAATTGTCCCTATTATATACGTATTTTAAATATACGGTACAGCCTATGATTTTTGTTTTATTTAAAAAATATATTTTGTATGATAAAACTCTACATGTTGAAATTTGTAAAACAATATAAGTAATGACAGCGAGCCGAAGCCGAAACCGATTCTTATAAAAGAATCATAGTTTCAAAAAGGCTCCTGTACAAAAAAAACCTCAATTTCTACCTTAACAAATATCCAAAAATTCCAGAGGCCCTAAAAGAATAAACTAAATTTCATAGGCAGACTATTACTATATTATATATATTTTTTTAAACAAAACAGATTTTCCAATTGAACTGCCGATGTAGTAAGGCATTCCAGAATTATTTATTCTCTGAGAGATAGATCTACAGAATCTTACGTAGAGATTGAAATAGAATAAGTAAAAGACACTTACAAAGTACGACGTAAAGTATGATATGAATGTTGCGGCCCTTGACCCTTTTTAACGGAGTGCGTATGTGCACTACTACAAATGTGCACTAGGCGTTTCCAATATGTCATTTTCAGTTCTCTAAAAGAAAATAAATTATCCTACTACCTATATTAAAATTTAAGCATTTTTTTATGCATTATGCATGCAGACGTCACTGTTGCTAATGGATCTTTGTAATACAGGAGTTGTAAATAGATGTTACAGGTACATAAATCAGTTTTTTAATAAAAAATAAAATAAAAATAAAAAATAAAATTAGCCTTTATTGCTGTTTGCATTGCAAAACTACTTCTACTAAATAACTACATTTTATAATATTATCCTATTTCTTAATCTAATCTTAAATTACTTATAATAAAATGCCTTAATCGACGTTCGTTTTAACAACAGCTTGTCTTTCGACATAGGCCTCCTCTAAAAACTTCCACTTATCTCTCTCCTTGGCTACCCGGATCCATAATGGACCGACCACTTTTTTAAAGTCGTCCTCCCATCTTTTAGCTGGTCGTCCCTTATTTCTTTTTCCATCTCTCGGGTACCACTCTGTTACAATTTTCGTCCATTTCTCTCGATGCTCCCTTAACATGTGCCCTGTCCATCTCCATTTCTGTGTTCGATATATTGAACGTGCTTGAGTAAATTGTGTTTTCTTTTTTATTTCTGTTAGTTTTACTTTATTTTTCTTCATGATTCCAATAACACTCCTCTCTATACTATTTTGGCAGACGTTTATTTTTTGTTTTAATTTTTCTGTTAATGCCCAAGTTTGGCAGCCATACATTAAACATGGTAGAATGCACATATTGTATACTTTTCTTTTTTCTTTAATTGGCATATTTCTATCCTTCATAACTTCACTTAGTGATTTTTTTAATAATAAACTCACAAACTTGTATCTTGGAAAGGTTAAACTGATAACATTAATTTTTTCTACCCTTTTTGGGAACATGGTGGACATTAAGTATCTCTAACGAAGATTTTTGGGCGTTGGTTGCATCTTGATCCTTCACAACTAATACCGCAACCCAGGTTAGATATTTAAGCAGTGATTTTGATATAGCTGTAAGCAAAGTTGTCATAAAGTCTAATATGGTATATGTTGCATTATAAGATTTTTTTGTGTTATAGTTGATGTAAACTAAATTGTTTCAATTCATTTTTATATTCGACTTCTTTACTTTATAAAAAATCGTACCATAAACGAAAATGTTTATTGAGTACTAAATACTGTCAGTATTAACACTTAAATTACATATAATATATTAAAATATTGGTTTATGACCCTTTATCTAATCATTCCTGAACGGGTTTCTGACCTTTATCTTTGACATTAGTTTGACATTTCCTTTATTTCAAACAGTCTCAATTGGATTTTGACCGAGGAGTGTAGAACGTAATATGTATTTTTATTGCAACTTGAACTACGACGTTTGCGCACAATAAAAATAGTAGTGATCGGGATATAATGATAAATTTTACGATGGTGTCGTCAGATGTGATCAAATATGTGGCTGTGCCTGTGTCTTTAGCAGTTGCGCTGGGATTAATACGGAAATGGAGATCGAGGAATTGGGCAAAGTGTACGAGCAATACTTGTTTAAGGGGCAAGACCTTTCTTATTACGGGTGCCAATAGTGGTATCGGATTGGAAACCGCACGAGCTCTGGTGAAGAGGAAGGCTCGCGTGATATTTGCTTGTAGAGACATCGATAAAGCAAAGAAAGTGGTCGCAGAAATTCGATCAGAATGCGACGGCGGCGAATTGGTGAATTTTTATTGTTATGTAATTTTATACATTATGCATAAATGTAGCAAAATTTACAAAAATTATATTTTATTGTAGATACCAATGCAATTGGATCTTGCATCGTTCACGTCGATAGAAAAGTTCGTAGATGTTGTGAAGGCAGGATTTTATAAAATTGATGTATTAATCAACAATGCAGGTGTGGCCACACCTTTACAGTTAGACATGAAGACAGAAGAGGGTTTTGAAATACATTTGGGTGTTAACCACTTGGGACACTTCTATCTCACAAATTTATTAATTGATTTGTTAAAAAAAGCTGCTCCGAGTCGGTAATTACTTAACTTCTTACTATTGCAACTTATTGTGCACAATTAGCAAGTTTTTTCATTTCCACTTAAAATTCAAGTGAACCAAGGTTTTCACTTATTGCTTATTACTTGACTAAAAACACTAATATAGCATTAACATAATATAGCGTTTTTGAGTAAATAAAATTAAATAATAAGATATCTATAATTAATTTCTTTAATTCTAGAATTGTAATAGTCACATCAACCTTACATGAGAAGGGAAAACTGGATTTCGACAATCTGTACATAGAGGATAAAATCGAGAAGGCCAAATTAGGAAAACGTTATCGCCACAACCCTGGTTACTGTAACTCAAAACTCATGAATCTATATCACGCACGAGCATTGGCTGCGAAATATAGGAATTCAGGAACAGATGTGTATGCTTGTTGCCCAGGATTCTGTTATACTAATTTGTTCAGGTTTGTTTTAAGTGCTCATACATGTAAAAACTTTATCCATAAAAGCAAATAAACAGATTTAACTATAATGAGTTCTACAATGGTATTATATTGTTAAATATTTTATTTCAGAGATGTAGTTCAATGGTATCACTATGTTATCTTGGCACCCGTTGCATTTTGGTACATGAAATCAGCTAAACAGGTAACTATCTCAATTAAATTTACATGATCATCTATTTTATAAAATATCTATTAAATTTAGAGAGGAAGAGTGACTTAATTTTTGGACAATCAAGGATGATAAATATTTCCAAAGCATTTGCTAGAAGTTGGCATTGTTCGCTCACAGTTTCCTCATTAATTGATGTTTCTTTATCATGAATATATAAAAGAACTAAAAATAGTATCATGATAAGTCATGTACATTAATAAACAATTGAAAATATACATATATATGTATACATAGTTTTAGAGTAATGTCTGAAGTTCAGTAGGTCAAAGAACAGTTATGATTTGAAGTGTAAATTGAATTCTAATCATGTATATTGAAGTTCTAATAAGTATTAATTGACGACTACAGTTGGTCATTAACCTTAAAGAAAACAAAGAAATGTGAATATAAGTAAAAAAACACTGAAAAATGTTGTTACATATTTATATTATATTGGGTGAAATAAGTGAAAAACCTGAATTTATTTTTATTATTGTACATGATATTGATAGCCATCTTGTCTGGTTGTGTTATCTTTTAGATTATTGTATTTTTAGCTATATGTTTGATATACAACAAATGCATGATCTTCATAATCTTTATCTAAATCCGTTTTAATGATAATTATATAATAAGTTATTTAAATATATGCATATTACAGGGTGCAGAAACGGTGTTACACTGTGCAACAGATTATCGTCTGGAGGGTCATACTGGGAAGATGTACCGCAATTGTACCGAATACACATCCACATATCGCTTCAGTAAAGAAGAAGAAACAAAGCTATGGGAAGTCAGCGAAGCTCTTGTCAAAGCTAGAAGACCTATTTAAGACAACGGACTAATATATCATTACCACAATTTTAAAGTTCTTCATTATATGAGAATAAATTTTATATCTATCAAACTTCTATAACCTATTACTATTGTTTAGGTGAAAGTAATACATAACTAATATTTGGGAAACTTTAAAAGTCTTGACCTAGTAGTTTAGAACTCTTAGACTGATTGTGGCTATGTATTTAAAATGATAATTTGTAAGGGACATTGAGATTTTTATGTGTGAACATTTCAAATGTTATATATATATTCTAGAATTTTCCAGAAAATTCTCTAGATTTTTTCTATTGTGGAACTATTAAGACATCATTCTTATTATGATAATTGATAACTAACATGGTACTATAATGGCATAATATTTAATCATGTTAAATGTATGCACAATGTTTCATCAAATACTCATTAAGTATTTTAAGATATATTCCAAAGAATCATCATTATTGTAGACAAATATATTATTAATGTATACATTTGTTTTTTATTTTATTCTTACAAATGGTTGAATAAATAAAATGCATATTTGATTTCACAATTTATTGATCCCTTACAAGACTTAAATCACAGCTTATTTATGAAATCCCAAGTAACATTATTTTAATACGAGTGCATTTCTTTGCGGTGCTCACTATCTTACTTCTAGTATACTCTTTACATAATACCTTTATTTATTTATTCTATAAGGTGTATGCGGTGTGCTCTTAAAAATTACACTAAATTTTATACCTGTCTGTTTATAGGCCACCTGTAAGTTTTTCATTGATAACAAATGTTTTTGAAGGCCGGTATATATACATAATCCAGTATATTAAATATGATAAAACCAGACATTTGAAGGTCAGAAATAAAAAAATAGGGATAATAATGTCTGCATACTCTATATTTAGATCTTAAATATTAAAACTTGTTCGCAAGAAAAAAACAAAATCAAAAAAATATACCAATATACCTAATTGTAATAAAACAATGATAAATATGTTTCTCGGTAATCATCTATACATTGCATCAATAATTCTAATGACATTGAATACATAACTCAAAAGATTGAGTAACAAGTTAGTAAATAATTTTTAATTAAGACGAATTTTAGTCAGGTATAATATGTACCTTAAAAGTCAATGAAACAAAAGCAAATCACAATAAAGTTATTATTCATACTGCGTAATGTATTGATATTAAGACAATGCTAGTTTGTATGCAGATTGATATACCGTCTAGTAAATACGAGTGACATCTCAAATATTTTTGTTAGACATACATACTTTAGTTTAAAGAATCAAGTTCATGTGAAATAATATCGTTGCTTTCATTACTATGCTAGAGGTAGGTCGCTTTATAACTAATGTTCTTACTACAATGTAACATTAAAATCATTTAAACATCACATAATACGTGCTATTTAAGATAATTCTAGTACCTACATATAATTTAGTTATTATATTCTAATAAGAATGACGATTTGTTGTTTTTATTCCTATTATATTTTTTAAAATCTCGGGGCCACTACAACTAGGCACTTAGTGAATAGTTAAAAACTAGGAAAGAATGAAAAAAAGTAAAAAATTAATGCACACGGTTAATATTTTTTTATGGAAAAATCTATGAAAACTAGATTTTTGCGTGACATGTATGAACCGATTGTAGAAGTGTTTCTTATCGATATTTAAAACAAAACCGATAGTTATCACAATTTTTCAAGAGTATTGTCACGTATTGATTCTTTTGAGAACACTTCTTAAACATTACAAATGAAAATGGTAATACTATCGATAGTTACAAGTATCTTCAAAAGTCTGGATAGTATTGTAAAATTCTCTTATTAACACAATAATAATCTTTACAAACAATTGTAAATATCGGTATTTCTGAATTATCAATTACCAGTGATGATGAGATTCAAAGTGATGTAGATATAGAATAAAACTAAAAGCTCTCGTTTAACTTAAACTATAGGGGAAAAAGGGGCAATGGGAGTCAGTGGGTAATGGTGGTCAGTGTAACCACACCCAGAGGAAAGAAATTAAACAAGCGAATGTCGACTTAAACGACGCGTCACGTGACACCTAGCTGCCCCCCGATCGCCCGTTCAGTGCGCATCGGTTCAGTTTGGACAAACCAGGCCATTACATTAGATTTGATCAACCACATATCCTCGCTCGTGAAGACAGGTATATACCAAGGTTAATCCGCGAGGCTATTGAAATTAAAAAAACACCCAAATTTCAATAGAGAAGATGGCTGGAATCTATCAAACACCTAGGATCCTCTTCTTAAAAATATAAAATCCCATGTCCATGACCACACCGCAGGACCTCGAGACACCGTGAGCGCATTTTGCCGGCATCCAGAACGGGACGCAAGACAATTAAGAAATCGATGGCGGTAGGAGATAAAATGACCAGACCAACTGACAGACACTCACATCTCGTCTGCCCGTTATCACGGTTGCTGAAAAGTAGCCGAAACGTCGGGAGTATGTAGTTTTCTAAAATAAAACGCGAAGTAAAATCCGAAAAATATTAGTTTCATTTAACTGACTATTTAATGTTGCATATTGAGTAACTGTAATCTTAAATTATATATTTTGAAATCGTTGAAGGTGTTCTAACGTCAGGTTATTTTTTTACGATTCGTTTCTTCCCAGTGGGTAAAATCAGGCAATGAGAGTCACTGAGATTCGGGTAATGAGAGTTGACTCCCATTGCCCGCAAATTTCATGATACAGTCGATAACTTACGAATTGCATTTTTATTTCAGAGATGCCAAAAATACGACCCACAAACACCAATAAGGCGCAATGGACGTCTGAAACTTTAGAAAAAGCAAAAGAACTGGTGAACCAAAACCAGTCTATTAGGTCTGCGGCTAAAGCCATGGGTATTTCTTTTTCCACCCTCCAAAAACGGCTAAAACAACAAAATCAATCAGAACCACGTCTCGGAAGACTTCCTGTTTTTACACAGGATGCAGAAAAGATCTTGGCAGACCGCATTAAATACTTATCTTCAATTTTTTATGGAGTCACAGTTATACAAGTAAGAAAGGCAGCATACCGATATGCAGAAGAGCTTCAAATCCAACACACATTTGACCAGAGTGCCCAAATGGCTGGACGTGATTGGCTGGAAGGATTTCTGAAAAGAAATAATATATCTATTCGCAAACCAGAAGCCACAAGTATCAACAGAATAACTGCTTTTAATAAGGAAGAAGTCCAACTTTTCTATAAACTATTGGAAGATCTAATGGACAAACATAAATTCACCCCAAAAAAATATCTATAACTGCGACGAAACCGGTATATCTACAGTACAAGATCCTGGTAAGATATTAGCTCCCAAAGGCATGAAAAGTTGGGAAAGAGGTAAAAATATTACACTATTATGTGCCATGAATGCTGCTGGTGGTTTTGTTCCTCCTATGTTCATCTTCCCTCGGAAGAGGGTGACTCCGCAGCTCGAAAAAGATGGTCCAGCAGGAGCTATATACAAGTGCTCAGATAATGGATCGAAACAAGGTACCTCCAGACGCAAATAAAGGACACAGCAAGGAGTAAAAATGAAATAACCAACACAATGACCATACTGACAACTATCGAATAGGAAAAGTCTACCTGCCGAAAGCTTTCAACAAATGGAGCCCATCAAAAAGGATTTCGGTTGTGTTTAAAACATACACTCGCCAGGCAAAACCAGATTAATGAGCTAAGAAAAAACATGTCGAAGCTTCAGAATTCAACAACTACTTTCAAGAAATAATCCGCGTCCGCATCGCCCACAGAAAAAAATGAAAGAAAAATAGGCGATATAAAAGCGGATATCAAATACCTACTACCGCCCCATCTGCATTGTGTTCTACAGGGTTTATTAATTGGAAAAAAGTCTCAGAGAGATTAACTGAGCACGAGGCAACCTAATTGCACAAAGAGTGTGTAGCGGAGCTACTTAGATTTAGAACAAAATATTTTAAACTTGTATTGCAAATTTAAATTTATATCCATTTATATAGTAATTGTTTATAGTAATAGTGTATAATAATTTATATAGTATTTAGCAATTATAATTTTAAAAATTAAGTTCATATTTTTTATTTCTTGCGACGGACAAACTTTTGATTAAATTATATATAGCGAGGATGCCCGCTGCGTGTATTGTTCGCGACGTCCGATCCCGCGCCCGGCTCGTCAGTCCGCATAAACGTTAGCTGTGGAACGCTTGTCCATCATCGTTAAGACGACACTCACGCGCGCACCCTCGCTTACATAAAAATAATCTCGTCCGTGTTCTTAATTCATAAGTAGCGTAATTAATTAGCTGAACATTGTTTATTTCGCTAAATTGGTGACCCCGAAGTGATCCAAGATGCCTAACGAACACAGCAAGATGGACGATGGTGAATATATAGACGCGTCAGCGTCCGCCATTACGAGCGAAGTAGATCACGTGGCCGTTCGTTTGCCGCCATTTTGGCCAGAAGACCCGGAGGTGTGGTTCGCGCAAGCCGACGCTCAGTTTAGAATATCCGGAATTAAAGAAGACACCACGATGTTCTACCACATCATCGCGCAGCTGGATCAGAGGTACATAAAAGAGGTGAAAGACATTGTAAGAAACCCGCCTGTGACCGGAAAATACGAGAAGTTGAAACAAGAGCTTACTAAAAGACTATCAATATCTTGCGAACATCAGATTAGTCAATTGCTTTCTCACGAAGAACTAAGCGACAGAAAACCGTCACAATTTTTACGCCATTTAAAAACGCTCGAGGCCGAAAGCGTGTCGGATGAATTTTTGCGTAGTCTATGGTCAAGCCGATTGCCACCTCACGTACAAGCAATTATAGTTTCGCAAACTTCCGCTAGTTTAGATGACGTTGCTGAGCTGGCAGACAAAATCTGCGAAGTCACGCCTTCTCCAATGCATCAAATAGCAAGTACTAGTACCAGTATTAACAATTACTATATAAATTTAAATTTGCAATACAAGTTTAAAATATTTTGTTCTAAATCTAAGTAGCTCTGCTACAAGTATGATCAAGTGGAAAACACGGTTACAGCAAATGAAATCATGCCAGGGTATTGATCAAGACCTTGAGAGAGTAGTTAACTCAGAAAAAGAAAAATGGAGAGAGATCCTGCGGATTGTTATGGATGCTGTATTGTATTTATCCACAAACTGCCTCGCTTTTCGCGGATCCAACGAAACTCCTAGCGACCTTATCACGCAATAGCCTCAGCCTAGTCAAGGTAACTTTTTAAACGTAATTTCCCTGCTCGCGAAACGTAATTCAACTCTTAAGTTTCAATTAAAAAATTTAAAAAAGGGACAGGTATCATATTTATCAAAGACAATACAGAATAAAATAATTGAAATAATGGCAAGAACAGTAAGAAATAGCATTTTATATGACATCAAAGAAGCCAAATACTAATCGATAATGTTCAACTGCACTGTGAATGCCCTATTAAATAATTTGCCAGAAATAGCGGAAGCCTTAGAAGAAATTAAGCAAACTTCTCGTGCTCCAGAAGCCAAGTTCGAGGCTGGTCATCTCTTAACTGCTATAAAGGATTTTAAATTTATCCTTAATTTAACTATTTGGGCGAATATTCTCCGCGAAATTAATAGAATGAATATAGAAATTCGGAAAGAAGATCCTTGCCCGTTCCGACGCCTTAATGGATGGTGTGCTCAAAACTTTACAAAAAATGAGACAAAATCCAATGGAGTGTTGGATAAAAGAAGCTGGCGAAGTAGCTGAAAAATGTGGTGTTGACCCTATTATGCAAAACAAACGAATTCAAAAACGTAAAAAACAATTCGACGAGATGTGTGAAGACGAATTGCCAATACTCCAACCTGTATAACTCGCAATAATATTAAAAAACAAAAACGTTACGTGCTGGATTCCTTGAAAAACCTACGCCAAAAATTTATGTCGACTAATTCAATGATAATAGGGTATTCTTTGTTTTGCCAGTTACGTCCATTTTGGATCGTCGAGCCTAAACTTACCGATCGCGACACTTGTGCTTGTATCACCCATGAGAACGTTAATCTGAAACTGGTTGCATTGAAAAGCGTAAACATTTTAAATTTTGCGTCCCACCAGAGTGCTTTTCAAACGCTTTGCTGTGATCGCTACTCTGAAAAATGTTTATCAAGAACTTGTGAAGGTTGCTCAGAAAAAAAATTACCCTATAACGAATTCGACAACAGTGATGAAATTCTAGTCAAGCAATGGAGAAACAGCAAAGAAATCCAAGATATAAAAACTAAAAAAGAGCGATTTATAACAAAATATAAAAAAGAAACACAAAAAATTAAGCCTTATGTCTTAATTGGACAGCTACCAAAATCATTTCAACATGAAATGAACGTTGTGCACCAATACAATACAATCAAATCTCTCAAAGAGTCACTGACTGAAACAGATGCCATAATCCACATGGATTTCTCGGAAAACTACACCACTAAATACAACTATCGGCGGATCTTGTACGCAAATTTCGCTACATACTGTGGTAGTCTATACGAAAGACAAGAAAACTTCGCATTGCGATGTTAGTCGCAACTCGAAAAAATGGCCTCTCACTTCTATGCAATGCTCAATATGGCTGGCATCAACGCGTATATTATACACAGGTCTAACACGCAGACTAATCAGAAGCGTCGCCATTTTATAAAAGCATTAGGCCGATTGCTTGTTACTGAACACTTTGATGAAATTTGATGAAATTTTAAAAGTAACAAAAAAACAATTGAAATATACAATAAAATAGTTTGTTTTTTAAATCATTCCTTGTTAAACATCAACATGTTCACATGAAATTATTTAAATAAAAGCTACATATATGAAATGTTTTTGTTCTGTTATCATATTAATGATGTGTATAAGCAAAATAACGAAATAACAAATGCAGCTGCATTTCAAGCGGATACATTTAATCTTTAAAATTATCTCTAATGCGTCAGAGCTGTAATCATTCTGCACTAGTTGACATGATTCAATAAAATATTAAAAGAATAATTTGCACATGTTAGTAATTTGTAAGATTGATTAATCCTCAAGATTTTTAAACGCCACAGTGTTATAAAAAAGTGGCTGGCTGTGGCAAGAGACGCAGTTTTGTTTCGGCTGTGAAATCAATCAAGCAACTAATCATGAGCATTTCCGAAAGTATAAACTTTGGCAGTAAGCCAAATTTAAATTTTGATTCTATTAATATTAGTCTGGTGGAAAAGAAGAAGGATTTCTTGTACGAACCATCGCTGGAGGACAGCTATTCGGTGTCTTCGCACGAGGCCAACAGTACCGTATTGGACGACATCATTAATAAAAATAACATAAAAAATGGTGTGATTTTCGTAGAGACTACGGGTGTGAATAAAAATTTGGAAACTTGTGAGAACAGTGGGGACAAGGAGAACTTAAAAAACCATCACAATTCACAACAACCCAAAGTGATGGAGGCCGTTGAAAATTTGAATAAATCTATACAGGGCAGTAATGTTGAAAACGAAGAAACTGCAAGCGGTGTGCGAAATGAAGCTAATGTTTCGGCGGCTCAGACTGATAATCAAGTTCAAATTAATGATGCCGTTCAAGTGGATGTCATCAACAGTGAGCATATTATTAAAAATAACAATGTGACCAATTTTAATGGCTGTTTAGATTCAAACGACAAGATTGTGGCATTGAACAATGGAGATGGTGCAGCTGTGGATGGTAACGGTGGTGGCAATGATGCTAATACTTGTGACGTTAATGGTAGTAATGTAAACGGCGACATTAACAAAATGTGCAACAACAGCAATGTCGTAGAGAAGAGTTCGTCAGTTTTGAAAAGTGAAACTGCCTCAAAAGGTACTCTAGTTTTGAAAAGTAATGCAGCTTCCAAGAATACTTCAACTTTGAGAAATAAATCAGCTATAAAGAGTAAAATACTTTTGAAAAAGAAACCCGTTTTGAAGAATAAACCAGTTTTGAAAAGTAAAACAGTTTTGAAAGATAAAAAACTCTTAAAAATTAATTCAATCACAAAGAACAAGTCAACTCTAAAGAATAATGTGAATAAAAAATTCAAAAATTTACAGCCCAAGAAGATACAATCGTCCAATGTCACTGATCAGACCGTTTTGAATTGTACTAGTACAAATACTAATGAAAATTCAAACGTTACAAATAAAAATGATGACAACATCAAAAGGAACTCGAACAGCCAACGTGATGACAACATCGAAAATGATGCCAATTCAAAACAACGAGAAGATGCTGTTAAAAAATCAAGTGTCGAAACTAGTGAGAGCAACAAGAAAACCACTGTTACAAAGAAACATTTGAATTTGAACATGACAGCGGACATTAAGAAAGATTCAAATGTCAAGAAAAATGCTAACATCACTGTGAAAGATTCAAATGTCAAAAAGAACACAGTTGCTAAGAAGGATTCGAATGCCAAGAAATGTTTAAATGTCAAAAAAGATGCAAAGACAAAGAAATTGTTAAACGTCAAAAAAGATGACATTGTACTGAATGGGTAATACTTGTTTTAATATGATCAATAGATCAAGACCTTGAGAGAGTAGTTAACTCAGAAAAAGAAATATGGAGAGAGATCCTGCGGATTGTTGCTGTATTGTATTTATCCACAAGCTGCCTCGAAACTGAAACTCCTAGCGACCATATCACGCAATATCCTCAGCCTAGTCAAGGTAACTTTTTAAACGTAATTTCCCTGCTCGCGAAACGTAATTCAACTCTTAAGTTTCAATTAGAAAATTTAAAAAAGGGACAGGTATCATATTTATCAAAGACAATACAGAATGAAATAATTGAAATAATGGCAAAAACAGTTAGAAATAGCATTTTAAATGACATCAAAGAAGCCAAATACTATACGATAAAGTTCGACTGCACTCCAGATGTATCCCATACTGAACAGATGACCCCAGTTATACGATAAAAGAACTGGCAATGTGTGTGAAATAAAAGAAAGTTTCATTGATTTCAGAGAAGTTGCTGGAAAGACAGGAGAGGACATTTGTCAACAGATTTTAGAAAAATTATCAGTTGATGATTTAGATATTGGACAATTTCGTAGCCAATCTTATGATAATGGGTCCAATATAGCCAGCATCCATAAAGGAGTACAAGCCAGGATTGCAGAAAAGAATGAGCTGGCCGAGTTCGTACCGTGCTTGGCTCAATCAATTAATCTTGTAGGGGTTCATTCTGCATGCCGGAAAGCTATTAACCTATTTGGATTAATTCAAAAAGTATATTGCTTTTTTGTTGGCTCCACTTCTAGGTGGAACATTATGAAAAAATACGGAAAAACAAATTTAAAAGGAAGTAGTCAGACGTATTGGTCGGCGAAACACGTTGCTGTGAATGCCTATTAAATAATTTGTCAGAAATAGCGGAAGCCTTAGAAGAAATTAAGCAAACTTCTCGTGCTCCAGAAGCCAAGTTCGAGGCTGGTCATCTCTTAACTGCTATAAAGGATTTTAAATTTATCCTTAATTTAACTATTTGGGCGAATATTCTCCGCGAAATTAATAGAATGAATATAGAAATTCGGAAAGAAGATCCTTGCCCGTTCCGACGCCTTAATGGATGGTGTGCTCAAAACTTTACAAAAAATGAGACAAAATCCAATGGAGTGTTGGATAAAAGAAGCTGGCGAAGTAGCTGAAAAATGTGGTGTTGACCCTATTATGCAAAACAAACGAATTCAAAAACGTAAAAAACAATTCGACGAGATGTGTGAAGACGAATTGCCAATACTCCAACCTGTATAACTCGCAATAATATTAAAAAACAAAAACGTTACGTGCTGGATTCCTTGAAAAACCTACGCCAAAAATTTATGTCGACTAATTCAATGATAATAGGGTATTCTTTGTTTTGCCAGTTACGTCCATTTTGGATCGTCGAGCCTAAACTTACCGATCGCGACACTTGTGCTTGTATCACCCATGAGAACGTTAATCTGAAACTGGTTGCATTGAAAAGCGTAAACATTTTAAATTTTGCGTCCCACCAGAGTGCTTTTCAAACGCTTTGCTGTGATCGCTACTCTGAAAAATGTTTATCAAGAACTTGTGCAGGTTGCTCAGTAAAAAATTTACCCTATAACGAATTCGACAACAGTTATGAAACTCTAGTCAAGCAATGGAGAAACAGCAAAGAAATCCAAGATATAAAAACTAAAAAAGAGCGATTTATAACAAAATATAAAAAAGTAACACAAAAAATTAAGCCTTATGTCTTAATTGGACAGCTAGAAGAGAGTGATCTACCAAAATTATTTCAACATGAAATGAACATTGTGCACCAATACAATACAATCACATCTCTCAAAGAGTCACTGACTGAAAAAGATGCCATAATCCACATGGATTTCTCGGAAAACTACACCACTAAATACAACCAGGAAATCCAATCGTATCATTTTGGCGGATCTCGTACGCAAATTTCGCTACATACTGTGGTAGTCTATACGAAAGACAAGAAAACTTCGCATTGCGATGTTAGTCGCAACTCGAAAAAATGGCCTCTCACTTCTATGCAATGCTCAATATGGCTGGCATCAACGCGTATATTATACACAGGTCTAACACGCAGACTAATCAGAAGCGTCGCCATTTTATAAAAGCATTAGGCCGATTGCTTGTTACTGAACACTTGAAACGCCGCAAAGAAACAGTTCAATTGCCGAGACAGCTACGCAAGAGAATCAGAGAATTCATCGGAGAACCTGAACAAGAAGCACCTATTAGGGTTCCAGGTGTACGAAAAAGGTGCCAAGTATGTCCTTATGCCCGCCATCGCAAGACAGCCAATGTTTGTGAAGATTGCCATAAGTATATTTGTCCAGAACACACTATTTCATTCTGCCGGGATTGTGCTACAATCACAGACAATAATGATTTGTAGTTCATAATTGATGATAAGACTGCAATTGCAACTAATTGATCTCTACGTATGTACCAAATTAAAAATTAATCGTCTAAGAAGTTACTTATTTTTTGTTGTTTCTAATGTAAGTTTAGAAAGTTTATGCAAAAGTTGATTATTTTCTAGTACTTTGCTAAAAGTGATTTAATTATAATATTTTGTACTCTAATCTGCATTTCATTTCGATAAAACCGTAAGAATAACATGTAATATAAATAATATTGATTAATATTTGGTACATTAATATAAATTTAGGTATTTAAACCCAGTTATATACAGGGTCAATAAGACCCTCCACAACCTCCACGTTACTATTTTCACCACATACTCGCCGGGTTAAATATGTACTTTTTGTTTTATTCTATACATCACTTTGAATTTACTTGCAATACCATCGAAAAACAGCTAATAATAGATGAGAAATACCGATACTATCAATTTTATCGAATTTTATTTTTAGGCCATGAATACAAAATTTTACGATTATATTCATACTATCGACAGAATTAAACTTATACTATAACTATCCATAGTATTACATGGGGCGATAATATCGATAGTCACACCATCACACTACATCGACAGATTATAAACAGTGTCTAAACAATCGATCAACAAATCTAAGTATGAAATTGTATGAAATGAATGAAACTACAAACTGAACGCTCAAGTAGTTCACTCATTCCTTTAGTCATGACCTTCAACTAAGGAAAATTTTCTCACGGTTTTTAAGTATGTATTAATTACACTCAATCCTAAATTTTTTGACGCCACTACTCAACATATTTATAATAAAAACAAGCCTTACTTAAACTTAAATCAATTGTCTTATCAAATAAGTATACATAAGTGTTTATAACTGTAATAATTAAACGAAAACCATTTTAAGTTTTTCTTGGGAAACTACTAAAATCCTCAAATGGTCTTCTCTACACACTAAAAACATCTATAGATAATTTCAAATCCAGAAGAAAGTAAAACGATAAAAATTTTCACAACCAAAATACATCGCAGATAAATAAAATTCGTTTTCATCATAAATAAAGAATCTTTGGTATATGTTGACAATTTGTACACGAAAAGATGGAATGTTTGAATATGGCAATTGAATTGCGTTTAAAATATAAGAACAAAAAATTTTAATTTAAACAATTTGACAATAAATATCAAATCAATTATCAGATCTTATTCCAATTGTAAATATACAGGGTGACTGGTGAATTACTATCGATATTTGAGGACGTGATATTTGACGATCATATATGACGAAATAAAAATTAATATAACATAAATATTAATAAACTTCTAAGTAAAGTTAACCAAAAGTTGTGTAATTAATTACGCATCGTGTGAACACCCTACAGATTAGGTATACACTGACACTTGCCTATTTTTTTTACATAATTCGAATGAGAATCATGTACCGAGTATTCTCCTTAAATATTGATAGTAATTCAACAGTCACCCTGTATACTTTTACTATTTTTTTCTTTTATTTAACAATCGATTAAAAACTTCAAAGATATATACAGGTAAACTTTTAATGTTACTTCAGTACTGATATGTTAAGGCTATGTACATATTGAAGATGACATGACCGTTAGGCGGTGGTTACATGGACGGATGTTTTTTAACAACGGCAAATGCATATAAAATCTATCATAAACACATTTACTATAGTTATACTATGTAATTCATATATAAAATAAAAAATAACAAATTTCCATGCGATTTTTTGAACCATTTCAATTATTTAACATTTCAAAACATGTTTTTTTAATTTATATAATTTTCAATACGTTTTTATCATTCCAGCACACACATGATATTCTGTGAATTATTCCAGGAAAATGTATTAAATAAATATAAACTTAAAGTGGCTTTAAAGTCATCATGATTACTGAGACTTACTACTTACTACTGTTAAAATAAATTATTTAGTGATTGTATAAAAAATTCAGATAATGCTTGGTAACAGGGTCAACAACACAAATATATAATATATATTTATATAACATACATACACATCTGTTTGTATATATATATATATATAGATGTGTGTGTATTTGCCATGTATAAGGTACCAACACATGGTTAAAGTGTGACCACTTATATATGTATATTTTTATATTTGATATAAAATTATATTAAAATCTCAGCATCTATCATATCAAAGAGCAGAATGTATTAATTTCAAACGAACATCTTCAACAATATGCTTTTTAAAAGCAGATAATTATTGACATTTTTTACCAACAAACATGTGCATGTACCCTTATACAGTTAAATATAAATTTATATTATATATTATGACACAGCTTTATATATTTGGTGAAACAAAATGGCGAGCATAAGACCTCTTATTTCTTTCATTTCAGATGACCAAAAACTATTATAGGCAAATAATATGTATGAGAAATATTTGTTCTATATAATGACCTTGTATAATAAGGTAAACTCACAAACTAGTGAAGCGTGAACAACAGGTTGCTCTGAAGCCAGTTACGTTGTTGGATCCATGCAATGTGACAGTGTCAGGATGGTGGTACATACGAAGCTCTTTCTCTGCCTTCTGTTCTAGATCAGCCCATCTGAAAAAAAAACATGAAAAACTGTTATGATATAAAACACTTTATTAAAAATAAAAGCTCTACTGTACTTTCATGGAATTAAACCAATATATTTTTATTTATTCAAGTCTGAAAGGTTAAACATTTTTCATCTCCAATTAAATATAAGGTCTTGATTTATTAATTCATTTTAATCAATATATATTTTTTAATACAATCTGTACAAAGTTTATGTGATTGAGAAAATTCAGATTTATTTTTGTATTAAAAAAATTTAACATGTCAGTATCTACAGAGTATCTTCATAAAATGTTCACATATGATGTCAATATAATTATGGTACACTAAAAAAAATATTTACTCAAATTTTAAGTAGCTCAAGGTTTTGACAAAACACGGCTCAATTTTATCATTACTACCATTACCATAATTACTATTCCTTTATTACACAGAGTATACACAATACACTAAAGAAAATGAAGTTATTTTACTCGTAGCTTTATATATAAGAAAATATATACATTATTAGATATTTATATTTTATAATTATGACCTTGATATTTAATTCAAATTAATGATCACTTGTTTTAATATTGACCATGTTAAAGTCTCAAGGACATCAATTCATCTTATCTATAAAGAACTATTTAATGATTTTCATGAATATTAATAATAATATTATATAGTCAGACAGTCTAAGAATTTAGTTTTTTCTATGTAACCATTTTTTATAATATAAATTATATGCAAATATTTTAATACTAGAAAATTTATTTGATCTAGAGTTTGCTTCAACAATAAATACCTTGAAATGAAACTAATATTTTCGGATTTACTACGCGATTTTTTATTTTTGACTTTAAACTACATACTCCTGATGTTTTGGCTACTTTACAGCAACCATGACCATAGGCAGACAAGATAAATACCTTTGCACCGATAATGAGAATGCTTCGAGAACATTATTGTCTGTTTTAGCCGAGGTCTCCAGATAGGTCGCTATTTTGTTTTCTTCACACCACTGCTTTAATTGTTCATATGATACCTCTCTATCTTTGGATGATACATCTGACTGTAAATAGAAATTTCAGTTAAAATTTCAAGGTTTATACATATGGCAAAAGTCAGAACTCAGAAGTGGCCTAGTGGTTAAAAGGCCCGCCTGTCATTCACAAGGGCGCACATTCGAGCCTGGCCCTGGCAAGTACCAATGTGAATTTTCCAAGTCATATGTACTTTCTAAGAGTATTTAGACATCACTGATTAATGCGTTCCCAAAGAGGGTTGATGTGAGGCAGGTAGCCGGTCGTAAAAACAATTAGAAAAAACTATTCACAACATGTAAGGCAGACCTGGGCTAAAGCTAGGAAATTGCCAGGTAGAAGAAGATATATATGTATATATATGTATATGGCAAAAAAATTATATTGACTATAAGCTTAGCTTAATCAACATATGAAGCAAAGTGCCTTATTTCCAACTACTATGAATGGGAATTTCTCGATTCCATTTTTGACTCCAGCATAATGAAGGAACTCATTCAGCCATGTTTTAATATTGTTGAATGAACTCCTGTCGTCTATGGCATATGCTAATATACAAATGTCTGTTCCTCGGTAAAATGGAGTCCTGAGGGACTTGAATCTTTCCTGCCCCGCTGTATCCCAGATCTGAAAGTATTTCATGAATAATATAAAATTTAAAAAAGGTTAATAATAAAGGGTAAAGCATACTTTTACAAGAATTCAGTCAGATAGTTAATTAGGATGGGCATAAAATATATTTTAAGACATAACATCTTCAAAGAAAAGTTTCTATTAAATAATACAATAAAAAATAATTTATTTATGTATCCAAATTCTTGTGAATAATATGTATATATAGATTAAATTGGTTTCTATTACAACTAACTTTAATGATGTAATAATTAAGTAATAGCGTCATTAATATTAATTACCTATTTACATTGGAAATATCGTATGGAGAACTAGGAAATTAGGAGAAATTACTAGTATATTTAACTATCGAAATATTCATAAAACAAACTTAAGTCTGAAGATAAATAAAATATATTAAGTAATAACATTGCATAAAGAGTTACATAAACATAATTAGCAATCACAACACACCTTAACCTTGATACAGGCTGTATATTCAAGACTAACTACGTTTTACACAACAAAGAGTACACACGACACATGATCTAATAAAGTTTTACGACAAAAATGTTTTACCTGTAAAGTATATTGTTTGCCTCCGACTTCTATCATTTTGTTCATGAACTCCACACCTATCGTATGGAAGTTGTGGTCGTCGAAGTGATTCGATATAAATCTACTCATTAAACATGATTTACCAACGCCTCCGTCACCGAGAATCACTATTTTTAAAAGCACGCTCTTATTCACGTTTCTTCCGTAATTTTGATCGCTATCCTCGACCATTATGATTTCGGTATTGTCATAATATTCTCAAATAATTCCAACGACAGCCTTGAAGCTCGGTCCACTAAATCTATTTAATTAAGGTGACTAATGACTTCACACAAGGATGTTAAATACTTAATCGCATTTTTACACGACACTAGATTCTATTATTTTCTAACTTATTATAAATAAGGCAAGCATTTTTTATATTAATTTAATTAATTAAAATTTATTAAATGAAACAACGTAAACACACTAACTTTCATTGTAAACTGAACAACACAGCTGTTTCATATTTAAAAGTTTTGTTCACAACACAGATAATATATTGTTTTAACAGACAACCTTCAAACATGACATCACCTTTGTTCAATGACATTTTGATACATAAATATTTTAATTTATTAAATTTATTGTGTTCATTAATATTGAAATTTTGTACAAAATGTAAAGTTATTTTTTCTTTCAAAACAATAATGCAAATATAATAATGACGACGACAGAGCCCTCTAAAGTTGAAAACTATTATTATACTATGTATAGTACTGGATAATCACGCTAGATGTCACTGGTGAATGTTTATTTTGCGGTTGTGAGTGTTGTTACGAGCGAGTCCCGAGATGTCAGTCCGCTCCATGAGTTTATTCCGCTTTGTTTGGCGGAGGTGAGAGGACATGGTGTAGTTCTTCATTCGAAGGTGCGCGTTGTGTTCAATGTTTTTTGTATTTTCTTACAATTTTTGAGTGACTGAACGATATATTCCGCCACAACAAAGTTTTCTAATTCGATTGAAAACAGTGTACGTGTTAGAAACATAGAATCTAGTAGCATTTGCACAATTGTGCAAGCGACTCGATGTCAATAAACTTGTCGGTGATATTTTATGGGAAAGGTGTGCCGCGTCGCTAATACCTGTTCGCGACTGAAGGGTGCATGGGCTCGGGATGTTTGAGGCCGCTGGCAGCTAGCGGGTGGTGACAAGTACCATGGAGTAGATGGGAAAGAGGTGAGTGGCATTACATGGTATTCGGGGCCGGGCTGGGGAGGCGCGGGGCGGGCTCGGCGTGCATTCACCTCTGACCCGCGCGGGGCGAGCGGCGCTCAAGGTCGGTGCGCCGCCTGAAGGTCGCTGGTCACGTGACGCGAAGGGTGCTCACCCCCGCGCACCCCCTCACCGCGCACCCTCCGCCGCTGGCGTCCCTGTGTTTGTTTGGGTTGACAGTCACGCACTTAAATCATACAAATTATTAATTTAATTTTATCTATATACATTATTAAAATATAATTATTAACAATCATAATATTCTCATTAAAAACTGGCCATATTAATGTTAAGTTATATACATGATCAATGAATACATTAACGTATAGCTCGACGCTAGGTTCGTATTTGCATCAAAGTAACGGAATGCTAGAAAGGCTTTATGTTCAACCGACACTTCTACAGTTTAATATGCGATTATCATATCAGAGTCTAAAGTGGCACGACTTTATAAACACACAAGAATAATAATGTGTTTCATGTTTCTACTAACTTGTATTTAATTTTACCGACTAGGTAAAACAATTTATATAAAACCTTCATGTTATTATGACAGTTGATATACTGAAGCGTTCCAAATTCAAATTTTAATATTTCAAACAAATAAAAACTATAGGTATATGTGTTAGTGTAATCTAAACTTAATAAAGCATGTATGAAAGTCAATCGGGCCTCACGATACAACCAGACGCGTTCCGTTCAAAAAAGTTGCACCTCAAGGTCGTTATTTTTATATATCAATTATAAAACACAGCTTGATTTTATATTTGAATATATGTATATATTACTGAACTGTATTCGCGCCCTTTTTGATGTTATGTCCTGTATATTGAAATAAAGTTATGTGTTGAACGCGGAAGTGTGTCGTGGGAGTTGAAAGTTCAGTTAGAAATCAATAGATGTCACTTTAATTAATAATTTAGTTTTTCTTAAATAGTGTTCAGGAGTACGTGATTTTCTTATTGGAATAAAATAAGAAATTTTAACTTTGTATCTTTATGATTTTATATGAATAGTATTTTATTTGAATGCTAACTGTTGTCTGCGGCTTTACCCGCATATTATTCCCCCTTTAAGATACCCGTTCTCATCGTTTTAGACTTTGATTCTCTTCTTAAAGAGCCCTTAAGCAAATCCTGTAATGGTGACAATTGAACTAGATCAGGATAATGCCCTTTCGATAAAAAGAAATAATTTAAATTTCTATTAAAACTTTTTACCAGCCACAACAAACGGAAAGACAGACAATAATAAAAAGTGGATTTTTCAAGACTGAATAGAAGAAAAGAACCAATCAGTGACAAATTATTATTTTTTTTATTAAAAGAAAATTTTTATTAAAAGATAATATTTTTTTTATTAAAAGATTAAAGATAAAAAACAGTATTTTTAAATACTTATGATATATTTCATTCACATCATAAGTGTCAACTTTTAAATAATAAATAGGTGCTTATAGTCAAACATAATATGTGCTTAGGCTTACTTATTTTTTTATTTATATGGCAATTAATTCAATTTGTCATTGTCACGTATTAAAAAAAAATAGATAAGGTTTATGGTTGTATTGATCCGATTTTAGGTAGTTATTTATTAAACAGGCCTCAAATTAGATTTTTAGATCATCATATTATAAAATTAATTATAAATTTATTCTATATTTGGCTTCATTTGCGTTTAGAAATTTAAGAAATCATATAAGTAACGGTCTATAAGAAATAAATCTTATCTTATTAATAATATCATTTGAATTTTCATTTTGATCTCGAAATCTGATACAAGTTCTTAAAATATAAATTACATATTATATTTTTATTTATTCACAATAGATAGTTGATTACTTTTTATCTTTTTTTTTTAATTATCATAGATTGCAAACACTGTTACCAGCCAGTCTCAAAGTGCACATAATCTGTTAACATAAATTATAAATTGATAAGTTCTAATTAATGATATTATAATCATTTTATTTTAAATAAAATTTTTATTATATATCGATGAATTTACAACGAAATTGCGATCACGAATTCCGATTGACCTTCATATTGAATACTGAAAGATACACGTACAAAATGACGTCTGACATTTTGTCGCTACCTCAATACTTAAGACTGAATTATTAAAACAACACAAATAACACAGATTATAAATATAGAATATAAAATTTGCACAGATAATTAATATAAAGAATATATAGCAATAATAATATTAAATATTGTCAGCGAGTGTACTCTCACCACTTTCCCGTGTGTGAGTGCGGCCGGTGACCTTGCTATCAGGAAGCGTGACTCAGCCGTCTGGGAGCAGGGACCTTCGTCTATTACTATTTCGTTACTATTTTACAATATTATTTTAGCTTCACCAACTGTGTGGCAGCCATGTTATTTATTTTATCTTTATTACGCCCATAACTAATACATACATATTTAATTTAAAATAAAAACATCAAATTGAAACGATATTCCAAATTTGAATTTTTTTTGCATGTCATATATGTTTTTTATTTTACTTTTATTACTGGCCTGATATACTTTTTTAATTTAATATATTAAAAATAAATTAAAATTACGTTCGAAATTTGAATTTTTTTTGCATGTCCTATAGATTTTTATACTTGTATATTTCTGCGGTGCGAGTATGTACAAACAAGAAATGTATTTAACGTTAAATGGTGTGCTTTGTTTAAATTTCACTTCGAGCCCCGTTCCAACATCCGATCTACGTCATCGGGGTCATGCCTTTTTGAAATGTATTTTCAATTGTTTATGTATATTAAAATGCATTTATTAAGATCTCAATCATGAAAAGATTGAAACAGTAGTGACTATAAGAATATTAGTCTTATTAATATGATAATTATCGTTGAAAAATAGTATAGTAATATTTTCTATCAGAAATAATTGATATAATTTAATCGGACTTAGCGATCGTTTCGTTGACAATTACTATGCAGTGAAGCAAAGATTCATTCAATACTATTCAAGCTACACCCACGCCGTCTACGTACTAAAATAGAACCTACTACAGTTATTTTGTCTAGTAAATAATATAATAATTAATAACATATTAATAGTAATTTTCATAAAAAGAATATTTATTTACAAATATTATTTAATTATTTAGATCATAAATGTATTTTAATCTGCATTACATATAATTCATGTCGGGACTTTCTAGCGATATGTTAGAAAACGTGGCTTTATACAGCCATACTGGTCTTCTAGATTTATAACATCCCTACTAATATTATAAATGCGAAAGTAACTCTGTCTGTCTGTTACGCTTTCACGCCTAAACCACTGAACTGATTTTAATGAAATTTGGTACAGAGATAGAGTTGACCTGGAGAAAGAACATAGGATAGTTTTTATTCCAGACTTTTGAAAGGTTCTCTTGGAAACGCTATATAACAACTGCGGGCTGGAAGTTAGTATACAATAATTTAGATAAATCTTAAGAATTATATAGGCATATATATTATATGGGTTCTTCTAAGCTCTATTTAATATTCCACGTGCGTTAGACTATCTCGTGGGATGTAATTTATCTGTTATATAGTTAGTGGAGCAAAGTATGACCTCAAGTCCTCACCGGTCACACGGTTGCGACACACATACATATACCGTTATTATGAGGTAACGGATTATTATAATTAATATAGCTTTAAGTTATTAAAATGTTAATTTAATATGTTATTTTTAGTCTGTCCCCTCTAGTGATTGTGAAGTCTGTGGAAAGTCTAGAACATTCGTTCTACCTTCCATTAAGATCTCGATTAGAAACCTAACCTCTAGTTAAGGAAGGGCTAACAGCTGAACTAACATAGAATTATAGTTATATATATTACAATTTGTGTATATAAAATCATGCTTTGTAAGATAGCTTAAAAATATTTTGAGATATTTTTTCTTTTAGGTATAGGTAATTTAATATTATTACATAACCTAAATATATCTATATATCCTTTGTTTTAATA